GACATGAAAATAAAAAACAAACAAGCAAATCACGGGAATAGAATGTTATAAAAAGGCCAACAAAACTATGTGAAAATAAGAGGGACTAGCTTCTAATGTCTCCCGGTGTTACTCTTGTAACAAATGTAAAGGTGATGAGAATAACTTACATGATCAGCAATTAGTGCGGTTCTTGATTGTGACACAAATTCTCCCTGTCAGTATCCTAGTAAATGTTTAGCAAGCAGTGTGGAGGATATGAATACTAATGATCGGTAATCAAGGGTCAAGAGCGTGGGAAATAAGAGCTCGGCAAAAGTTTCTACCTGTTAGTGGGTGACCTGTGTTTTCCAGCATTCACTCCAGGTAGGAGAGAAGGGAGAAATAATGCTTGAATGAATGATAACTCTGTGTACTTGCTACTTTTTGTGCCTGACTACATGAATTTTATTTTTTAGTTTTTTTTTTACGTTTTTCAGACTGATGTCTGGTCACAGGATACGGTTTTCGTTATCGCTGGTGTAACGGGCAGGTAAGCTTTAGGTATTTAGTAAAGGGATCTGTTTATTAGCTTGATACTTTAGCAAAATGGGTAATAAATCGATTTCAGTTTCAAGATTTAGTTTTCAGATTAACAGAGCGTAAACTTGCCTGGCAATTTGTCCGAGACAAATCGGACGAGCTGTACACTCACCGATGATGCTGGAGGGTTGTTGTTCTCTCGTCTGATTAAGGTAACTTTAACCATTTAAACCCTGAGAGTGACCAGCATCTAGTTTTTTTTTTAGGGAAGAAAAGTCTTCTAATAAATGGAGCAAATAAAAAGTTGAGCCTGTCTGTGCTTGCGATGCTACAGAGGGTTCGTTGCCGCAAAGCAGAATTGTACGTTTGGTCTTTTGTTCTTAGATGAATACAGATTCGTTTGCAACTGAAAAGAGCCTTTAGGAAATAAACGTAAAATGAAAAAATTATAGCATGATCGAGATATATATTTTTTCCATATTAGTTACATATTAGTTATCTGCCCTTCTACGTTAAATGTGAAAGAAAGTGAACTTATTACTATAGACGAGTTGAACTTGAAGCTCTTTCCAGGAGACACGCCTCAATATTTGACTAGAATTGCTGTTAATGAGAAAGGCGAGATAGTTGTGATAGATAGCAATGACCACTGTGTTTATGTATTTGATAGAGATGGAAACCGTGTGAGAAAAATTGGAAGCTAAGGAAAAGAACTAGGACAATTTGAGGTCCCAACAGGCGTGTGGTATTTAAATGATAAAGAGATTCTTGTGGCCGTTAGTGAAAATAGTAGAATACAACACATCGATAACAAGACAGGGGCTGTCGTGAAAAGCTTGAGGACAAAAAGGTTCAGGAAAGGGAGAGTTTGATGGTCCACTCGATGTTTGTTTGGATCATGAAGAGCGCATTGTTGTAACTGAATATGGCAGTAATAGGATACAAGTGATGTCAAAAGAGAGAGAATCTGTTTTTGCATTCGGAGACAGAGGCCCAGAGAAACTCAGTGATTCAACCTGCTGCTTACAAAAACATGTTTCTTGTATGTGATGGAGGCAATCAGTGCATAAAAGTTTTTCATTAGCCAGGAACATTTTTATACAAGTTTGGCAAGGAAGGGAATCGAGATGGAGAATTGAATTGGCCATATTATCTGCTGGTAGACAGCTCCGATAATCTTCGTGACACTGACAATGACCGGGTACAGCAGTTTTCTCTAGACGGTCGCTTCACAGGGGAAAGTATCACTCGTTTGCCAAAACCTTTGGAATTTTAGCAGCACCAGATGGACGTATTCTTGTGACAAGTGGGCAGGATAATAAAGTATTTATTTTGAAGTAGATATTTTTCAATTCCGTCTGCTTTTACGGCATACAGCTTGTTCATACAATTAATCTTTTGCGAAAACGGAGTGTTTAGTTGTGTATTCTGATGGAGAAGGGCTGGATAGAAGGAGCCTGCTATAGTTTTTGCATCCTTGCTACCTCCCGATTCAACCTGACGATCTCTTTCGGAAATTTCAAAATTTGCAGTTTGTCACGTGCGGCTGAATGCATGGGATTACGCATGAAGAGAACAATTATAGCCCTCTTCCCCTTCCCCCCCACGAATGAGTCATGACATCGTCATGGTGGCAAATAAGACAGTAATATGTCAGCGGAATCCGTGTATTGAAATGGAGAAAGTTTTTCATGTGTATATGTGACAAAACCTACTTTTGGCTGGTAAGTAAAATGTATTCATTTCAAAGTCTACTAACAATGATAATTTTCGATATGATGGAAGTTAGTTCAATCAAACTTGTAACAATTGTGATTTTTGGGGCCAAATTCCATAGTGCTGGACGCATTGATCTATCAAACAGCTCCTAATGTAAAGAGAGCTTCAAAACTTAAGCAACGCGTCTCTTGATTGTTGCACTTTTTTTTGTTTATTGACGGTAGGATCTCTTTGATAAGCACTCCGTATCAGAACATACGCCTGAATATCACATGGTTCTCACGTGATGCAGATTGTGTAGATCTGCACCACGTTCCTGTAATTAAATTAAATGCTTTGTGCTTAAATATATGTTACAATTTTACGCAGAATTCTCAGAGCTGATTTAGCCAATACAAATATTCGTACTTTTAACATGTTCGTAATACAACGAAGTGAGCTCACTTCAGACCATTCCTCACGCATCTCCCCAGTTCGTCCTTGCTGGATTTGCCATTAACGTCCGATAATGTTCGTACGCACTCCAACTCGACTGTTCATAAGTTAATGACGGCAGCCGTAATTCAGAGAGTGAAACCGTACATCATTTTCGGTAACTTCCTCATGACGTTGGAAGCCTTTGCATGTTTTTGCTACTAAAGAATGACCAACCTCAGTCGTATAATCTTAAATTCCCAGAACTATACTGAGCAATCTTGAAGAGTTTATAGACAATGTAGTCCATGAGACAGAAAAGTTGAATACTGCCTTAGTTAAACTGAAGTTGATATAGATTGCTGTTTCTTTCTCAAATTACGTTAATAACTACCATTTTTGTTGGAAGGTATCATAGGTTAGAATTTTAATTCGTATCTAAAATATCGCATGTTTCTTTGAAAGTGGGCTTCTTGACTTTGACCGATAAAATATCGTTTGTTACTGTTTGTTGACAACAATTAACTGAAATATTACCAACACAAAATCAAAACAGGAAAGAAAATAGTTTTTACTACATTTAATAAAACTGACAAAAGACAGAGATTTGTTGGCTTATTTTTATGTCTTCGATTGTTAATTTTAAAAGGTGTGGAGATCTAAGGAGCATGGTGAAGCAATATAATTCATAAATCGAGCCATTATTTTCCATACTTAGTCACTAATATTTGTTTTTTTTCTAACCTCGTCAGTGCCAACTCATACCTTTGCAAAGGCTTACACAATGATTAGATGCTTCAGCACAAAGGAAAACATTTTAAAATAAGCTTGCTGATAAATAAAAAAGAAATTTTATCTTGCTGAAACTCAATCTATTCACGTACAGAAAATTAGACCCTTTCTAATTGAGTATCAGGGATGCAAAACTAAAGGAATCAAAAAAGTTTACCAGAACAACTGAAAATTGCTCAACTTGCTGATGAGAACGTTAAGTGAGTACAGGAAGCCTATGGGGACCAGCCTTGAAGCTGAGTGAGCTACCCTGTGTAAATAAAGTTTTACTTTACTTTACTTTAGTGTTTTGGTTATCGTCTGACATCGAATTGGTTCCTTACGTGATGCAATTTTTCTTGACTAATCAAACAGACTGCTGAAGTAAATTAAAACCATTGTCATTCCGACCGGATAACTCTAAACATTCAATTGAAAACGGTTCCTTCACATTTAAGGACCTTAATTAAGCAATCAGGACGGCAGTCTTAAGGAAGATGTCGATTAAAAAATTAATTTCTATTTTTAGTTATAAAACCTCGAAAATCGCTGCATGTATTTACCTTTTCTTACGGCGCAAAACCTCGACTTTAGCATAACATAAATATAATTATAACCAGCCTTGAGACCCAATTGGAAATTGAAATAATTTGTCGTCGCAATTTCCGTCGGTTCGCAGACGACAAAAATTTCGGTGATTTCATGTTGTTGATTTGCAGAAGACGGCGAAGAAATGTACAAGAAAGAAAGTGATGTAAGTTTTTTAAAGACGCACGTGCTGAACTACTGTTCTACTTATGAGATCTTTTGTAGTTTGCTTAAGGTCATTAGAATTGAATGGTGCAGTTAGACTCTCGCCTCTTCCACTTACTCTGTGTGAAATCTTATCTTAAATCTGTGGCCAAAAGGGTTCAATTTTAATGGGGAATAGACTAGATCAACTCAGTTGATAGAGACGTAAGGATCTCAGATTGGTTATGAGTACGCATATGAGATTCTCGAGTATTGAAACAATGCGCGGACGCGAGCCAGCGTCCTAAAACGGGAGTCCCACTTCAACTGTCTCCACTGTTTATTCAAGATTTGTAAAGAGACGAAAACAACTTGGCTAAACGATCCTAAATAGTTTTTACACTTTGCGATTAGAGATAAGGGGGTTTGCTCTTACATTAACATAAAAGTTATAAGTAATCTCCTATTTTTAGGGTTGCAATTTGGTAGAGAAAATGGCTTTCGCTTAAGATTTCATTTTTAATGGGAATCGTGAGCTAGCGTTCGATAGATTGTTGCAAAGGAACAAGTGAGTCTTACGATCATTTTAAATTTTCCCTTCTCGCTGGTTTACATTCCCTTCAGTAAAAAAAAAACGAAGAGAATCTGGCTGTTTGTTAAGATGTAACATCCTAACCGATACTCTTACGTCTGTTATAAGGATAAGGTTAGATCTTCACTCCAGCGAATTTAAGAATTAAGAAGTGGGAAAGGTCAGAAAAAAAAAGAAATCTATGACTTTTCTTGATCAAATGTGTAACTCAAAGCATGATACATCAATATTCACTGTTATGCACCAAAGGAATAAAGCTGATGAAGCTTAATAAGACTTTAAAAGTTCCTTTAATTTTGCAAAATAACTTACTGTGATATCCAATACGCGTGGTCTTTAATATTCATCCTAAAATCTAAAAGTTCTTAAAATTGTCTAGGTCCACTACTTGTTAACAGGTTTTTACGCCATTTCTAGAGCGAAATTTAGTTGTATTACTGGTGTTCGCTGGTCCGACCGTGTTACTCTGAGGCGAGAGGTCCAGATATAATCGCTTGTTTTGACCAACAAGGCGGTATAAGTATATTATGCTCAAGTCACGGGTATCGTTGATAGTGTAGATGACAGTATCACTGTTTTGAGTTGGCTGCAAAATAAAAGCAGATTCATTTTATATCTAAAAGATAGCACGAAGGCAGTAAGGGGGAGGGGGGGTTGAGTTGAGTTGGGTATTCCTCGATAAGGTCTATGAAGTGTATGGCTCTCGAGAGGGTTTTTTTTCCAACTTTAGTGATATCTCACGGTTCAAAGTTTACAAGTAGCAGTGTTTGAAAGTGTGGGAATTTTTTGTCAGTTATGGATACAGTCTTTTCATGAAAGTGATAAAGTGTTTCATCGTAAGGTCTAAGAGAGGGGCTTGGCCAGCTCCTAGCTTAGTTTGTGATCAGAGCGCAGCAAAGAAATTAACTGACGTACCAACTTACCTTTACCCATTGGTTCAGATGTTTGGTGCCTTATTCTGTCACGCTTGCGAGAACTTTCTACGCATGCGCATTGATATATATATTTTTTCAATGATAGTAAAATTTTTTTTCCTTTTTCCTTTTATATGACCGACACACCCTGGTGACCTTTATTTTTAGTGCCTGCTTTTGTTTCTTTAGCGTTAGCCATAAATAGACTGGACATTTCAGTGAGTTTTCTTGAAAAAAATTGCAGTTCCTGCAATTGAAAATGTTCAACTTATATTTCCAAATTCGTGTCCAATGTTTTTTGTACGAGACTGATTTTAGGTTTGGTTTTATAGAGTGAGTTTCTTATGTAAATTTACCACTGTTCTAAAGCTGACGTTTCGAGCGTTAGCCCTTCGTCAGATACAACCTCTTTACTGGGCCAATTTACTTCATCAACTCAGCTGATATTGATACCCCCCCCCCCCCACCCTCTCACCGACACAGCACCAGAGTTATTTAGAAACGTATGCCTTTTCCCACCCTTTATTGAATCTTTGGATCTTGGTAGCTCGTATTTTCATCAAACTCGTTATTGCTCGGGGCCAGATTGTTCCAAACCACGGTTTACCTAATGTGGGGTTAGTGTAAATATTTCGTTTAGTTTTATAGCTCTGCAAAGGGACTTTTCTTTCGTTTTTTTTCTTCCATTAGTTTCGAGTCAAAACCTTAACATTATACGTACTCTTCTGAGTGAGAAATTAAAGCCAAGGTTACGTTTAATCCTAGACTAACGTTAACACCCTCTCGAACTACCTGGCCCCGCAGAATATTACCACCCAATAATTGCCTTCTTACCGACATATAAACGGTTCCGTTTGGGTCGATGGCTAAGTACTTTTGAGTTGCCTTATTCCTGTAAAATGGTAGGCCACCTGGAGTCCTTCCCCTGCTTCAAATATGCCTGCATTGAAAAACCAATAGTGAAAACAGCATATTAATAATGTGAAACTCAATATGAGAAATCGCTTGGTAAGACTATTCCTTTTACTCTCTGTCACTTAAAAACCCTAAAAATTACCAGTATCTAATTTCTCCTTACAGTTATACGGCTGAATAACTCTGAATGATCGCCGACCTAGGGAGCTTTGATTTTTCAACGACTTCTCCTTGGTGAACACGTAGAAAAAATGTATAGAGGTGTGCATGCCAAGAATATGATTCTGATGTTATGGTGTAAAGGGTTAATGTAAACAAAATTTAACTATTGAAACAGTTGCTTTTGATGAATAAGTTATAGCCTCATCGATGTTCTTTAAAAATTAACAATCCCTATCGTAGGACAACCACTGAATTACAATTTACAAAAATGGAATTACAAAATGAATAAAATTATCAATGGTTTACGACTATTCACCTATATAGCGGTGGCTAGTGGTGGAAATTTATCGAGGGCAAGGAATTAAGGTAAAAGATTGTTTTAGTTTAAACCGAGAAATTGCAACAATTAAAAAAACAAGCAAACTGAAACAAATGTTTGGAAGTTAAACTTCCTCGAGCAGCGATTTAGAACTATCGGTTGCTTGAGATAATCACTCTCGAGCTAGCCAGTATAACTGCGACGCAAAAAAGCGCCGTGTTCACCTGTTTGACAGCTGTGCGGTATATACTTATTGTGACAAGTATAAATAACACAGGTGAGCAGGCACTCGCGCACGCTGATTGGCTGGTAGCGAAGTAATTATCAAGTATCATTCACACCGATGAGCGGCCGCAGAGACGCATTCAGGCGCTCAAATAGCTTAATTTCCTACCATTTTCAGTACGACAGAAATAAAACATTTTTTAACTAACTCAGTGCCATAACTATCTCCGCGTGTTTCTGTATGTCTTATTGATATAAGCGCGAGCAGTTAAAACCACTTACCCCTCGTCATACACTTGATGTCCTTTGTTCCTATTACATTTGCCCGAGTTTTCAACTGATAATATCCAGCAGCATTCTTGAAACTTATCGGCTCTTTAAGAGAAAAAATAAAAAAATAAAACAACAAACAAAACAGCAAACATGGGACCAGCAGGCTCATTGTCCGGGAGCTTCCATCTTCCATACTTACCCCTCTGGTCAACCTGTACCGTATCTTTTTGAACTTTAGAGGAATCTCCCACGGAGTTCTGCGGATCTTGCGAGACAGTCAATCATACATTAACACAACTGAACGAAGTAATAAGTACAGT